TTTCTAAATTTAGGGCTTCAGGTTCAGAAGACAAATGGAAGGCTGAACACGTAGATCCTTTAAAATTTAAAACACCCATGCTCTTTACGCAGATTTCCATAAGGAGCAAAAGCAGAACGTCAGAGCCACCTCTGAGGGATGCTGTTAAAAGTGTCTGAATTCTGATTTCTCATGATTGTGGGTGTTTTCTTAACTTTAAAAATAACCTGCTGGAAGACCAAATCCTACCAGTGACACCGGCCCCTTGACTGGGAACAGGGCTCCAGGGCTCTAAGCGGATACCTCCCCCAAGCAGAGGGAAGGACCACTAGACCCAGTGCATACTGCTTCCCAGGTCAGGGCTGGGCCTACCTGGTAGCTAGCTAGCGTTTCTGCTCTGGCTGCACGGGGAAGATTCTGATACTTTAGGTTCATATTCAGAGGACAAGGTCTGTCCTCAATCCTGAAAGAGAATTACCAAGCACTTCAAAATGGCAAGCTTGAAGGGAGGGGAGATTAATTTAGTCAAAGGTGGCCATATGGGAAGAAATCTGGCAATCCTGCATTGATTGCCACAGTGACCCACTAGCTATCACCTTCCAGAGAAACCTCGAGTCTCTTCCACCATGTCTGAGGTCTGCTCAGGCATTAGTGTGGCTTTGTTTCTAATCCTTATCATTTGAGATGCTTAAAGTTCTCACATGACACCAAAAGGCTGCAAGATACAAAAATAAGATGGTCTGCAGTGCCATACCCACCTCCCAACACTATTATTTTAAGAGCAGTGATACACCTCGTGATAGGAGAGAAATTAGCCCACTCACTTCTACTGTTCACAACAGGAAAAGCATCTTCCAAATACAGAGTAAAATGTGGACCAACCCTGCACCCCCGCTCCTCCCCCCACAGCAATGGGCATTCACCACACACCACATTCTTCACAGGCCTGTTAGAGTTCCTACAGCATTTGCACTTCCAAGAACACTCCCTCCTACTTTTCACTTGTGTTTATTTCTCTAGAATCCCACTTTCTTTCACCTGATTAGACTTTCCTAAAGCAAATCTGCAGGGAGCTCTCTGCCTACACAGGGGCACAAAAAGCCCCGGTTTCTGAATATCTCCTCCGGTTTCTGAATATCTCCTCCGGTTCTCCAGCCAGCCCAGCAGACCACCCACAGGAATGGGAAAAAACCTCTGGGAATAATTCTAGGTGATTCGATCTCTCCATCTGCCCACTGCTTCCTGCAGCAGATGCACGCAACCTTCCACCCACTCGACATTCTCCTTCACCTGGAACAGAGGTGACACCAGAGCCTCCCACTGCAGCCCCTGCCTTCTAGAACCGCCCCCTGGGTTCTGCTCTGACTCATGGTTTTTGTCTATTTTCAGGTCTCTGTTGAAAGCCTCATTCTCTTCTGTTTCTGTTCCTCTAGATTTCCTTTATTGCTCTCATTTTCAGCTGAATCCCATCACTATCCTAGACTCTCATGGGACTTTAACATGGTATGTAAGAATGGAAAGAGCAACATTGGCTACCCCAACCCAACATTGCTCAGATAGTCCAGAGAAGACAAGCTCTATGTAGCAAATGACAAACAAAAGAGCAGACGCAAGAACATGGGCTGGAAAGGGTCAGCCTTCAAAAAGGTAGGGTCCTGAATCAAAAGAGAAACCTAGCCAATCACCAGGTCTTTGTTAGGCACCCACAGACAATGAAGCAAACAGCATGCCAGACCCTGGATGGACTACAGAAAAAGTACAAGACACAGATTCTATCCTTAAGGAGGCTGTGCTTGTCTGGTTCAACACATCAGGAAAAAAAATCAGTGCACAAAACAAGACAGTGCCCCCACCTCAGACACCCAGGTTAGAACCCCCACCGTTGACGACTCCTTCCCTCTCCTCACCCATTACCTTCAGTCCTTTCTTATCCCTGCCCCAACCCCACCCTACTTCTCACTGGCTTCCAGAACTTCTGTTCTAACCCACTCTACATGTAAAGCCCTTTATCAATCCTCCTAAAACACTGATTTCATCAAGTAAAGGAGGAATGGGGACATGATAACCATAGAAATTTAACTTGTGCTGGAATTCAAGATTTTCCAGAATTTTGTCCTAAATTCTCAATTTTATCTCCCACTGTGCCCTTAAGGAACTTCCTGCCTGAACCAGCCAAACATCTGTTACTATGTGCCTCAAACAGGTTTGTTTTCTCCACATCGGCATCTAGTGTTTTCTTTGCCAATTTTTCCCATTCTTTAATGCCTAGCTCGAATGTCATCTCATTGAATCATTTTCCATTCCCCTTATCCCCAACTTCTTAAAGAGACTATATTTTAACACTTAAGGCTCCTGCCTCGTATCTTTTGTTTTTTTAAGAGATGGAGTCTTGGCCAGGTGCAGCAGCTCATGCCTGTAATCCTAGCACTCTGGGAAGCCAAGGCAGGAGAATCTCTTGAGCTCAGGAGTTCAAGACCAGTCTGAGCAAGAGGGAGACTTCGCCTCTACTAAAAATAAAAAAAAAAAGTTGAAAAATTAGCTGGGTGCGGTGGCACACTCTGTAGTCCTAGCTACTCAGGAAGCTGAGGCAGGATGATTGCTTGAGCCCAGGAGTTTGAGGTTGCAGCGAGCTACGATGACACAACTGCATTCTAGCCCAGGTGACAGAGCAAGACTCTGTCACAAAGAAAAAAAAGAGAAGATGGGGTTTTGCTCTGTCACCCAGGCTGGGGTACAGTGGCATGATCATAGCTCACTGCAGCTTCCAACTCCTGTATTCAAGCGATCCTCTTGCCTCAGCCTCCTGAGTAGCTGGGATTATAGGCGTGTACCACCATGCCTAGCTTGCCTTGTATCTTTATTTAAGAATGCTTTATCCACTCTACCATCACCTCCATCCAACTAAAGGCAAAAACTGCTTGAACTTCCTAATTCCCATAACACCTGACATAGCAGGTACTCCTTAAATTGACTATGGTAGGGCTTTAGAGAAGGCTGAAGTAATCAAGAAATGGTCTGTAGGGAAGGAGAATCCGAGATGGGTTTTGAAGCATTTAGTTGAGCAAAGGGGAGCAGAGGTTCCAGGTAAAGAAAGCAATATGTGTTGGTGGGCCAAGTTATCAGGAAGCCACACACCAAAAAAGAGAATAACCAAGGCCATATTACAGGGGTGGCAGTCGGTTTGGCAGCAGTGGAATGACTTAACTAAACAGAAGTGCTCTTCTGGGAGCAGAATGAAGAACAGACTAGGGAGAAGGAGGAAGAGACCTGAGACTCTGGGCCAAGCAAAGGCTTCTGCAACAATTCAGGTAGACCATGGGATAACAAAGACCTTAACTAAGATGGTGCTGAACCCCCAAGTGCTGGTTCATTCAACTGGTACAGTTTACACCATTACGTCATTAGAACTGTGAAAGTAAACAGAGGGTAATTAGATGTAAGAACTCTTAACACTGCCCCAAATGTAACTCTAAGGGAAAAGGTCAAATGCCAATCTCAGCTCTACAGATACCACTCTATTCACCTTCTCCACACTTCCTCAAAAACAGGTGTGTCTGTCTCCTATTTCAAAACATAACTCTAAATACAGCCTATTAAACTCAGCTTAGGTCACTTAAGTTGATCTAATATCCCCCATTAACATCTGCAAATCAAACTAATTCTACTGTGCTAATAATAACCAGTTGGGTGGTTCTGGACAAGTGATTTGACTGGAATCAGGATGTCCTCTTTTTATGAAATTGTGGCCGTAGTACCTGCTTTGCTAGGATATTTGGTAACGAATTTAATGAATGTCTGCAGAGTACTTTGAGCTCCTTGGAGAACAGTTCCATATGTACAGAAGGCTTTATGACCTGCCTTCAACTGCCGATTTTGCAAGTGTAACCTTACTCTCCCTTTTGGGATGTGATCCCCTTTAAACCTACGTTCAGCCTCCTGATTAAATGAGAAAACAGCCTTCACCTCCAAGGGCCCAAAGGCCCTACTAAATAAGAGACCGCAGCACAAGGTACTACCTAGGCATCTTATCTGCCTCATCACCCAATTTCTGACTTCACTTAAAGAGGCCTCCAGGTGGTCTTGTTTAGGAAAGTTCACTTAACTCCTCAGCAGAGTACCACCCGCTAACAAGGTTAATCCAGTATTTCCTTGGTAGCAATGTGAATTAGCAATTACAGCAATTATGCCTCTATAGTTATGGCTTCAGCCTGTGCTTCTCAGCTTTACTCAGTAGGTCATCAATGGACTCATTACGATATTCAAGCGTGTGCGCGTGTGTGGGTGAGAGAGTGAGAGAGAGAAGGGGTGGGGAGAGGGTCCCCAACACCGACATAACCATGGTTGGTCACTGCAGGAAAAAGGCAGAACTCTGTTCTCTGCCTATCATCGCTGTCGTTGAAAAATTATTCTCACTTCAAGCATTTTGCCTGAGCAAAGCACTCACTTCCAATATATGGTCACAATTCCGAAGCTTCCAGGCGTGTGGGCACGGTCGGCAGCACCTACCACTACCGCAGCTTCGGCCCAAATCCAGAGCTTTTCCCTTCGTCAAGGATTGCGGCGCAAGGGTACCGGAGTTACCGCCGGGCGCGGCCCCACCACAATCTCCCCAAAGCGCAGGTGCATATCAGCCCGAAGAACTTTGCTGTCACTTCCCTCGAGCCTACGAGAGCCCGACAGGACCCCGAGTTCTCGCCGCCGCGCGCGGGAGCTGGGGCCCGGCTAGAGCCAGGGCTCCCTGCTCCGGAAGGGGCGTGATTGCGGACGCTCGCGGCGGAGGCGAGCTCAGGCGCGGGCTGCCAGGCGGCGCCGCTGCAGAGCCCGGGGAGGGGACATGGGGGTGAGGAGGGGGGCGGCTCGAGGGCAGGCAGAAGCGGCCGCGGGTACTCACTTAGCCAGGATTCCAGGCTCTCCCCTTCCGCCTCCGCCATATTGCAGCCGCCCGGGCCGGCCCTGCGGCTTCAAATCTCGCGAGAGTCTGTACGGGAGGAGCCGGGGCGGGGCCTGCATGGGGGCCTGAGAAAAATGAGTGCCGCCACCGAGGGTTGCGCCAGACTGTGACGGATATTGAGAGGGCAGGTAGTTCCTTTGGCTCGTCTTTGGACCCCTAAGTGAAAGACTCTAACGCCCAGATCAAAGGGGTGAAACTCAAATTTAGGACCCTGTGGATTCTTTAACGCGTCATTTGCTCAGGCGCGCCGCGGGCAGTCCTGGTGGGGGTCCTCGCGGCCTGCCAAGATGGCTGCCTCCGCTGTGAAGGGTGTTCGAGGGTGGTCGAGCCTGCCGCTGGTCGCGCGTCGTGCTGTCTTGCGGCTTCCAGGGTGAGAGGGCGGCGGGCAGCTAGAGGCGCCGCTTGAGTCTTCACGGAGGGACCTGCGGGGAAGGAAGGGGACCATAGGCAGGCCGCGTGAGGCCCTGGAAAGAGCCTTGCCGTGGGAGCCAGGATATCTGCTTCAAGCTTCTTAACTGCGTGACTTTGAGCCGATCTGAAGGCTTAGTGACTACGCCTCGCTTAAGGGGTGTGGCTGATTTAGGGTTCTACCTCAGAACTGAACGTGCGGACCCCTGGTAAGGAGCTAAGAGCTAGGATCGTCTATGTATCAGGAGGTGGGGGTAGAGATGTATAGGCGGGGAGTCTAATCTTACCGTTCGCACTTGATAAGGAGACTCCCCGCCTGTTAGGGGAGGTCCTCCTACCTCTTGAAACAGGAGCCAAAGTTATTGCACTTCAGGTTTAGTTGGTGTTCCCCGCACCGCTCTCCCTCGTCGGCAGCTTGGCAAACATGCCTATTGTTAAGTCAATCTTATTCACTTGTGTAGTCAGCTTTAGCCTGCCTCCTCCTCTTCCCCCTCCCAGGGTAACCCAGGTGCGGTGGAGCCGCTATGGTCCTGAATATAGGGATCCCAAGATTGACAAGGAATATTACCACAAGCCTGTGGCCGAGCTAACTGAGGAGGAGAAGTATGATCAGGAACTCAAGAAGACCCAGCTCATCAAAGCTGCTCCAGCGATGAAAACAAGCTCTGTTTTTGAAGACCCAGTGATCAGGTTAGATGGAAACAGACACTCTTTTTCCAGGGAGGGTCTATGGTAAGGATTCCATGATACAATCTTGGAAAGCTAAGCATGTTGTTTTTATCCTTGAAGTAAATTCACCAACATGATGATGAAAGGAGGAAACAAAGTACTGGCCAGATCCCTCATGACACAGGTAAGCAGTACCTCCTTCCTCTTTTCTCTGTGACTTTGTACATGGTTCTTTCAGTTTATCTTAAGAGATAATGGATTCGTATACCTATCATTAAAGTTAACTTCTCTGCAAGTTTGGGGGCTTTAATGAAGTCCTGCAGGAGTCAGTAACTGCCATCTCCCCACCCCTCGCAAACCTCAGTCCTCTCTCAGTCCTTGTCTAGCAAAGGGGCAGGCACTTAAAAACTTTGTCTTGGATGTGCTGAGGGAGGAGCTGCACTGCCATGGAAGAACCAGATGATGGGAGTAAAGAGCAAGGTATTAGCTGGGCTGAGTAAGCCCTCTGGGAGCCTGGGACAGCCTCTTCCATCAGATTCCTTTGCAGACCCTGGAAGCTGTGAAAAGGAAGCAGTTTGAGAAGTACCATGCTGCTTCTGCAGAGGAACAGGCAACCATCGAACGCAACCCCTACACCATCTTCCACCAAGCACTGAAAAACTGTGAGCCTGTGATTGGGCTAGTACCTATCCTCAAGGGTGGCCACTTCTACCAGGTGAGTGGCCAGGGCAAGAAAACAAGGGCTGCCCACATGTGAAACAAGATGGGGAGTGGGAGAGCCCAGAGTTGGGCCAAGATTCATAGCTCTCTAGAGACTGGACTGTCAAAATCTACTCCTTGAGTCCTGTAGTGTAAAAATCTCAGAAGATGGAAAAGGAAGAAAGCAAAGAAATATCTAAATGACATCTTCTGAGAGTCCCTGCTCTCCTATATGTCCAGCATCTTGTGTATCCTAAACTGTAAAGTTCTCCTGGTGAGAGACTGCTTCTGTCCTGTCTTTACACATCAGCATCTAGCATAGTGCTTGACCCCAGACTGAACTAGGCAGCTCTTTCATAGCCTTTAGTTATTATTTCATTTCATAAGTGGGTTTTCTTCTCTTTTTTTTCCAATATAAACTCCATAAGGATAGGGACTTTCTCAGTGTTTGCATTTCCAGTGTCTGGCACAGTACCTAGCACATAGTGAGGGCCTGGCAAATGATTCTTGGACAGAGGGTCTTTTTAGGCACCGTGGTCTGAGGTGGCTAAGTCACACCAGCGGATGGTGCTTTTCCCATTTGGTACTTGTATCAACTTGGCAGAGCTTCCATTTCCAAGGGAAAGAGGCCAGTGTCTAACAAGTATCTGCTGAATGAACGTATCTTATGTCTGCTACACCCAGGGTGAAAAGACAGGACCCTTTCCTCAGAAACCTTACCAAAGCTGGCCCAGAGGAAACATGTGGCCACTCCTTAGAGCTCAGGGAGGCAGGAGGCCCCAGTCCTGTCAGGCCCCTGGACCAATCTGCTTGTGTCCTGTCTTACCCAGGTCCCTGTGCCCCTAGCTGACCGACGTCGCCGCTTCTTGGCCATGAAGTGGATGATCACTGAGTGCCGGGAAAATAAGCACCGGCGAACACTGATGCCCGAGAAGCTGTCACACGAGCTGCTGGAGGCTTTTCACAACCAGGGCCCTGTGGTCAAGAAGAAGCAGGACATGCACAAGATGGCAGAGGCCAATCGTGCCCTGGCCCACTACCGCTGGTGGTAGCGGTTCTAGGCGAAACCCAGGGCCCTCTGCTGCAAGAAAGTGTGAGCCACTGCCACACTGAAAAATGCCTGTGGGTTAAGGACATAGTTCGTTTTTAAGGGTGGGCAGGCCTTACAGGGAGGATGGAGCAGCATGTTTACTGCCCATTAATCCTTTCTTTGAGGCTAGAACTTGCTCTACCTGCCCCATACCTTGTTAAGATGGAACATACCAATTTGAGGATTCCTCCAAAAAACTCAGGGCCCAGTCTTTTCCCTCAGCTTGAGGTGGACCTTTGGATGATATAAAAGGAAGCAGTTTTAGTATCAGCAAAGATTTATTAGAAAGTTCTCAAGCTGACCTGCCATAGCATGTGACGACGGTACTACCGTTCATTAAAACTGAGTGGAGGACATATGCTTGTTTCCAAAGTGGTCCTTGTACAAAATGTATAAAAAGCAGTTTCTGGTGTGACTTGTGCTATGCTTTTGCCCCTTCACATCCTAAAGCATCCCACTGACATCCATGGTTACCCATTTTATGGATGGGGGAACTGAGGCACCAAGGTAGCTATTGTACCAGTGATTACATGGTGCAGCACTTGATAAGAGTTGCCCTTCTCTGCCTGGCCCAGGTGGGAGAGAGAGGCAGACGGGACTGTGCAGAAGGGGGACAGCCTTGAGCCCAGATATCTGTTTGTCATCTTCCCCAACCCCTGAGTGTGGGGGGTGGGAGGGGCAGGACCACAGCATCAGTGGGAACATCTCACTGGGAGATGAGAAAGTTTAGAAGGGAAGATGCTGAAAGGCTTGAGGGGTTAAAAGTCTTTGGGACAGAGATTCCACTGCCAGCTTGGGCGGTGGACAGAAAGAAGGCCAGTGCTACTGGTGAGGAAGCCCTGATGTGGAGGCCTAGTCTGAGACCTCGCTGTAGTAGTACTTGTGGGCAGCCGGGGTCGTCTTCCAGCCGGCCGCCCGGAACTCAATGATCTCCAGCAGCAGCAGCTGTGCCAGGGAGCTGAGGCCGGTTGGGAGCAGGAAGCCATCCCGGATCAGGACAAAGAGCTCATCCATGCGCTGCCCATTCATCTTCTCCAGCTGCTCCCCGACGCGGTGCAGCTGCAGCACCAAGCAGTCCACCTGCAGGGGCAGCGGGTGACCCTGGTGAGCTCTGGGCAGGGCCAGACAACAACACAGAGCATTTATTTGCCATGTGCCAGGCACCGTGCTTTGCCCTTTACACTCACTTTCTGCTTCATCCTGACACCGAGTGGGTGTTACCCACACCTTGCATAGAAAGAGACCAATTCAGGGAACTGCCTAAAATCCCTCACCTGGCCATGCTAGACTCGAGCCTGTCTCCGAACTGCTTCTTCATCCCACTTTTCTGCCTCCCCGCACTGCCTGACCCTGGTTTGGTTTCAGGGCCATCGGTACCCCCAGCTGCCCATGGCGCTCACCATGCCTGTCATGGGTTTCCTACTGGGAAGGAAGCTGCTGAGCCAGTAGGTTTGGCTGCTCTGTTTTGGATAAATTCCTGACCTGGCAGCTTGTCCTGTAACTGTGACAGGCCTTAAATACCCCCACCAGGCTCCTGCCCCAGAAGTGATGCCCTCGAAGGCCTCCATGGATGGTGGGCTGGCACTCTGGGCTGAGTCAGACTGCCCACCCAACGGCCTTTGCCAGGGCCTCTCACCTCCTCCTCCTTGCTCAGACTGTCGGGCTGGGCCAGCCGGAAGAGGCAGTCGTAGACAGGGTTCACCAGGGCCATCATGGGCATGTTGTTCACCTGGGGGGAGTGGGGGAGGGTCAGAGCACCGGGCTTGGTGACTGGGGGACTCCATCTCTGCTTCCCAGGGTGGCAGCAGGGCCTCACCCTCAGGTAGTCAAAGATGTTGCAGATAAAGGTGACATAGCAGACCCAGCCCTGCAGGGAGCGCGCTCGCAGCTGCTCCCGGGCCTGGTACTCCTGCTGCAGTCGGTTGAGGAGTCCACGGCGGAAGACACTCTGGCCTGCTTGTTTACTCTCTGCCTGTGAGCCAGGAAGAGGATGGTGAGGGCCAGGGCGGTGCCCTTGCAACCCCACCCGTTCTGTGTCTCTGCCGTTGAGCTAGACCCTTTGCATCTCTGTCCTGCGGGCCAGGCCTGCTGCCCACTCCTGAAGCACCTTCCTCAAAGCAGCTCCCTTCACTCTCCCAACCCTCCCGACCTGGATGATGGCGTAGCACATGCGTCCTGCTTCCTTGCTGAACACACAGTCCTGCAGAGAATGGTCCACAATCACATTGGCCACTTTCTCCAAGTCCACAGCACCTGGATCTAGAGGTAGAGACACGAGGGGAGTCTAGAGCTGCTTCATCACCACATTTGCCTCCACCTGCTTCTCGAAGGATTGGAGCTATTTGCAACAGAGCTCTCCCATCACATGCTTAGATTTTTTTTTTTTTTGCTCAAGAAACCGAAAATCTAGACACACTTAGATTTAAAGAGATCAGAAAGTATATAGACGGCCAGGTGCAGTGGCTCACGCCTGTAATCCTAGCACTCTGGGAGGCCGAGGCGGGAGGATTGCTCAAGGTCAGGAGTTCAAAACCAGCCTGAGCGAGACCCTGTCTCTACTAAAAATAGAAAGAAATTAATTGGCCAACTAAAAAATATATATATATAAAAAATTAGCTGGGCATGGTGGCGCATGCCTGTAGTCCCAGCTACTCAGGAGGCTGAGGCAGAAGGATCGCTCGAGCCCAGGAGTTTGAGGTTGCTGTGAGCTAGGCTGATGCCACGGCACTCACTCTAGCCTGGGCAACAAAGCGAGACTCTGTCTAAAAAAAAAAAAGAAAGTATACAGAGGAGGACAGAAACCACACACAGGGGCCGCCCCCGAGGTCGGCCTCCTAGTTACCCAATTAGAGAAAGCAAGGAGGGTTGTGTGGCTGGTAGAGACCTATCCAAGGAAGAATGCTGGTTTCTCAGGAACACATCTTTTCCTGGCACAAGGTTGAAGAAGGAACACTGAACGACAAGTCTCCAACTGCAATGTCACAGCAGAAAGTGTTCTTAGAATACACACAAACCCCTGACAAGAGTGGGCCACGCAGAGCCTCCCCCACAAGCCCGGCTTGGCATGTGATGGGCATTGCTGGTTGTTAGCTGAAGACGGACTTCTGTCCTGAGCGTTAGAGGCAAGGCATCGGGCCAGGGCAAGTGATAGAGTTACTCTGCCAAGCCGAATACTCCAACCTCGGTCTCAAGGCAGGCAGCTTTCCACATTCAAGAGCGCTGGCTGCAGCAATGCAAAAGCCAGCAATTCAAATGTACGGGCTTAAAGGGCAGGAACTGTGTTCTCTTCCATGGGTACTTAAAAAAAAAAAAGGCTGTACATACTGCGGGTGACTCTGTGATTCATACTCCCCAATACTGGCCTAAATGCCTGTCTTCCAGTTCGGGAGTTACGTCATTGACTCCTATTCTCAGAACAGAAGGTGGCACACGCCTGTAATCCTAGCACTCTGGAAGGTCCAAGCACTGGCCTCGCTTGAAGCCAGGAGTTCGAGACCAGCCTGAGCAAGAGCAAGACCCCATTTCTACTAAAAATAGAAAACTTGGCTAGGTATGGTGGCATACGCCTGTAGTCCTAGCTACTCAGGAGGCCGAGGCAGGAAAATTGCTTAAGCCCAGGAGTTAGAGGTTGCTGGGAGCGAGGATAATGCCAAGTCACTCTAGCCCAGGTGACAGAGCAAGACTCTGTCTCAAAAAAAAAAAAAAAAAATCTCAGTTTGTTCAACTAGAAAATGAAAAAACAAAAGAACAGAAGGGAGGGGCGAAGCATCCTCCCCCATCCACAGCTCAGCCCTCTGGTGCTGCCCCACACGGCCCTTCTCTGCAGCTCCGGACCCCAGCTCAAGAGGGGCTCCACGCTCACCTTTGAGTGCTGTCTTCAGCAGCTGCTGGGTTTCTGCGTCAAAAGACTGGATTTTATACTCCTCTCTACTGGGCTCCCCCATGACCGTGCAGTCCCAGCAGCTCTTGACCGGGCTGGGCCTCCTGACTGCACCTGGGGAGCAGAGGACGCGAGGGGAGAGGCCTCAGGTGTGTGGCAGAGGGCCGGTTCCCGTTCTGCAGGCTCTGGGTGAGGTTGGCCAGCGCTTGGGACAGGTGCTCCCGGGCGGTCACGGCATTCAGTGGTTGGCCGAGGGCCCACAAAGCTCTGCTTCCTGCGGAGACTGGGCACCAGCCAGGCACCTGCTGTTCAGCTTAGGGAACCCCACGCTTGTGGGATTACACAAGAGTAAAGAGATGAAGGATGAACGCGCCCCTCTGTGTCCCAGCAGGAGGCAGGACACCAAGGTAGATTTTGGGGGCGTGGATAGGTGGACTTTAGAGTTGCCTAAATAAATTGGCCTGGAAGTTGCTGGCTCAGCACGATCCGGGCGAGTGACCAGTCTGGGGGCTCGAAGCTGCGGGGCTCTGTCCCAGCGGAGTTCCACGCTCCTCTGCCCAACCTTCTCAGTCCCCAAACCCACCCCTGCAGCCCCGGGCTGGGGCCGGCCGCGTGGGTGGCGGGAGCGGGCGCCCCGTCTGCCGCCCCTGTCGGTCAGAGCCCGAACTCCCACGGTGCCGGCAGCCTCTCCCCGGGACAGACTGGTTGAACTGGCCTCCCGAGTGGCAGAAACCCGGGCCCACCCAGTCGGGACTCCTAGCTCCCGAGCTCCATTCTGGATCCTTCCTTCTAAAGGGGGAAGGGGAAGCGGGACGGTGAGCCGGGAGGCAGGACCCCCTGGAGTCGCCCCTTTGGCCAACCAAGGCGACCTTACGGGTCTCCAGACCTCGGCGGCTCCCCCACGCCCGGAACGCCCTTCCCGGCCGCGCGGGCCGGCAGCGGAGCCCGCTGTCCCGCGTCCCGCCGGCGGCAGGGGCGGCGTGGGCGCCACGACCCACCTGCCGGGCGCGTGCCCGGGCCGCTCGGCGGGCAGGGAGCGCGCGCCGCGGAAGCACGCCGCTCACGACGTCCTTGCGCGGCGCGGCGGGCCGGCTCGCCGGCGCCCCTCCGGGCCGCACCCCCCCGCCCGCGCCGAGGCGGGATCCCCGGCGTGGGCCGAGGTGGGGCGGGCTGCGCGCGGCACTTCCGCGACACTGCCGCCGTCGCGCCCCGCCTCACCAGGCGCAGCCCGGCCCCGTCCCGGACCAGGGCGGCTGGCGGGCGCTGGGCCGGACTCGCTCCTCAGCCCTCGGTCCCGCACGGGCTCCCCGCCCTGGCACTCCCCTGGGCTCAGGTGAACTGAGGCAGGAGGAGCCTCGGAGGGCGCGGTCGGAGCCGGGTGGCAGCACCTTCCCAGGGCATACCGCGTTGTCCCGCTCCCACCCACCCAGCCTGCCAGGGCTGGATCAACCTGGATCCCCCTCTCCTACTCCAAGCACAACACTGGGATGAGTTGCAGATCTAGGGGGCAGTCCTGGAGAAAAGGCCCCAGTTGGCAACCTGCGGCCTTCCAGGTTTTGGGAGTGCCCTTGAGGCAGCACAAGTCCCCTGGCCCTGACTTTCTTGGCTGGAGCTGCTCAGACAACAGGGTCAGCCTGGCATCTGCCCTGGTTGCAAAAGGGCATCCAGAAGGTTGACAAGAACTGCCACCCTCGCCACCACTTAGACAAGGGTGAAGTGCTGATGGCGCCTCAAGCTGCCAAAGTTCTCACCTCCCATTAAAAGAGCCACCAGAGTGGTCACTGGAAATGAAGGAAGAGAACTTGCAGCTGCACCAGAGTAACCAGTGAGGAGAGAGGAAGAGAATAAACTTTACTTCAATGGAATGTCATAAAAAATACATTCAGGCAGCTGCCTCCCCACAGCCCCAAGCCTTGAATGCCAGAAGCCCCAGCTGCAGCCAGGACCTTCAGAATTGGCAGCCAAGAGCCCGGAAGCCTGGGCATTTGGGGACCAGAAAGACCACAAAGTCCCAGACCAGAGACAGGGAAGGAGGGTGTGAGAAGGAACCCAGGACCCAGCCCCCAGGGCCTGCTCCAGCAGGTCCTTCCTCGGTGACAGGGCCACCGCTGGTGGGAGAGGCAGAAGCAAGGGCAAGGCAAGGTCCTGCTGCTCCCTCCCTGCTCCTGCTGTCAGCGCGTCCCCACAGGCGGGCGGGTGGGTGGAGAGGGTGTCGCTGTGTTCTGTTGACCTCTCCTCTGTATCTAGGCAGACACCCGTGGGGTCCCTGTGTCCTGGTAATGCTCTAGGTCCCAGTTGTGCCTCAACAGGCTGTATGCCCAGTCCCTTCCTTTTGCTATCCCGTCACTGGGCTGTATCAGAGCCACATCCCTTCTGGGGTCATGGGAAGGACAAGTGGCACCCTGCTCTGTGCTGAGGAACACTCAGGGCAGTGATGCCAATGCCCAGTTGGAAGGTCCTCACCCCAGCAGGGCTGACTGTGCCCATGGCTGTGACCAGCCCAGTCCTGGGAGGGAACAGCCCGGTGGTGCTGCGTGTGCCGACATGAAGCTCTGGGCACTGGGTCAGGAAGTGACCGGCTCAGCCTGGAGTCTCCTCCAGCACTAGCGGCAGAGCTGCTGAGGGCTGCAGCTATGGAGAAAAATGGAATCTGAGGAAGGTAGGGATGCGATTTGTCAGGGAAGAGGGAGGCGTAAGATGAGGAGAGTGTGCGCTTAGCTTTACTGTCTGTTAATAGGTTGGTGGGAAACACAGGCTGGGTGTGGGGACCAGACTCCTGCCAAGCCAGCCCTCTGCACTCAAGCTGCGGCCCAGCCGGAACCAGGAGAATTCTCGCAGCAGACGGGCTGGGAAGTGTAGGATGGCATCTGTGTCCTTTGGTTTTGGGCTGGATGGAGGAGAAACAGCAGCTTCACACTCTTCCTCGCTGCAGTCTTGGCGCTCCACAGCCCAGGCCCTGCCTCCTCTCTGCCTGCTCCTGGGGGAAGCCCTCGCCCTTCTGGTGGCCTTCTAGCCGGGTGGGTTCAAAGCTGCCACCCTGCCCCCAGCGGCTCTTCTTGCTCAGGACAGGTGGCCTGCAGGGATGGGGCAGGCGGCCCCCTCAGTGGAGACCTAGTCTTCCTTCTCTTGGCAGGTTGCCTCCAGGGAAGACCTCCGGCCCTTCCTGCCCTCAGCGCATTCGGTCTGGCTTCTTCATGCAGTGGAAGATGTTACAGAAGAGTTCATACCAGGAGAATATAAGGCCTGTGGAGACGGCAGCCTTCAGCAGGCTGGGGGACAGGCCCTTGAAGAAGCCCAGGGCACCCTCGTCTTGCAGCATCTGCTTGGCACAATCCAGGAGGCCCCCATAGCTCCGCACCTGGGGAGAGAAAGGTAACTCCAGTTGAGAGAAGAGGGGATGAAAACATGGATGCCAGCTCTACTCCTGTGCCAACACAGTACCTGGCCCCTCACAGCTCCAATAAATACTTGCTGGATAAAGGAATGAACGCAAAATAGCAAATAAGTTAACCTCATTCTTTCTATTGCAATCAGGCTAAGTCATCTTAGCAAAGGAAGTGCCTGGACGTTGGCAGCTGCACAGGGCTCCTTACTGTCCCAGAGGCCTGGCTGACTGTGGTTCTGAAGGATCCAGCTTTCCCAGAGGCATCTCTGACCCTTCTCCCCATGCCACCTGGTCCCCCCTGGGCAGCCTGACAGTGCCGCCCCTCTAGCCTGAATCCCCTGCCTCCAGCCTCACTTCTCCAGTTGAAACCTGTCTCCCCAGGGCACAGCCCTCCTCATGCCTGGCTCCCCTCCAAAAGCTCCACTGACTCACAGTGGCAATGACATCATTAAAAAGTTCAAGTTCCAAGGCCTGTTGTTCAAGGCACTCCACAATTTGATCTCATCTTCCCTCCCTGACCTGACCTGACCTCCCACATGTCCTCCTGTGCGCGGCTTCCACCTCTGGCCAAACTGCCTTATGCAGGCTCTGTTTTGTCCTGGGCTCTCACCATCTTGACCTATCCAACTTGGAATTGTCCCTTCAGGACAAATTGATAAATGGAAAAGGGAAGTTACAAAACCTTATATACAGTATGACCCAATTTTTGTTAAAATGTACACCTGTATTTATTTATGAAAGGAAATAAAACTACACCAAAAGCTTCCATGTGATTAGCTCTCAGTCATGGTGGGATTACAGGGGATTTGGTCTTCTTGTCTATCTGAATTTCCTAAAGTTTCCTACAAAGAAATTGTATCAAAATTCTAAACCCGGCCGGGCGCGGTGGCTCACGCCTGTAATCCTAGCTCTTAGGAGGCCGAGGCGGGCGGATTGCTCAAGGTCAGGAGTTCAAAACCAGCCTGAGCAAGAGCGAGACCCCGTCTCTACTATAAATAGAAAGAAATTAATTGGCCAACTAATACATACAGAAAAAATTAGCCGGGCATGGTGGCACATGCCTGTAGTCCCAGCTACCCG